ATATTGCCCCTTTAATAATAATAAAAAAATTAATTAGTTACAGAAACTGAAGGGTAATCATGAAAACAGGAAGGAGAACCAGACACGGCGTAAAACACAACAATGATCCACTGAAGACGAACGTGGATTAACCCTAACTGCACAAAAGATGACCGAAAACAACAAAAAACCCAAATCCTGACACTCCTTTCATCAGATAATGTTCTTTTTCAATGCCCGCTGCTAAACGCTCATCTGTTTGTCAGATTTTTAATGGACATCCAAAACATATTCACTTCCTGGACAAACTAATCCAAGATGGCCGCTAAAGTTAATCTATTTTAGCCAACAAAGACATCTCTGCATACAAATAATCTGTTTCAGCTCAACTCTAACTGAATAATTTATTAATGCCTTTAGTTTTATTTGTTTTCACTACGTTAGATCCAAGCATCTATTCCTGAAATACATGAAGATTTTAAACCCAGTCGGGGTTTCGCTTCTTCAGAACCCGTTTGTTTTGTGTGTGGCTGGAGCTCCAGGCTCTCCCGTGAATTCACCCACAACAGCTCCAGCATTGGAAGGGAGAAATTTGCATGCAATTAAAGATTAAATGTCAGTTTGTGTGGATGTTTTGGTGTGTTCTGCACACTGAGCGGCTATAAAACTGTTTACAGAGTCGCGCTGTGGGGACTCCCAGCCCTCGCCTAATGTACATTTTTTACACTTTAGCTTGAAGACTTTAATTCTGAGAAGCAGAATTTGTTCTGTTTATGGTTAATGAATCCACTTTCCTCCAAGATGAAAAAACAACATACCTGTGCATCAGAGAGACAGAAAGAGGACGTATTAATCCGTGTTTCAGCCAGGTGTGTGAGGGGACTCACCTGGTCACAGACGACGGGCCGGCAGGTGTGTGTGTGGCACTTCGACTGACCCCCGTCACACACACACGTGGTGCAGTCGTCCTTCTGCCACTGCTCTCCATGCTGCAGGCACAGACACACAGGTTCACAGAAACATGTTGGGTCACAACTAAAAGATCATTTACATAAATGACCTTCCAAAAATATTGAAGTATTCAAATATTTTAATGTATGCTGATGATACTGTTCTTTTTTTGTCTGATTTCAATATTGAATCTATTAATAGTCAGTTACAAGCAGATCTTCACATTTCATGGTTGTAACTGACTATTAATAGTCAGTTACAACCATGAAATGTCTGAAGATCTGCTTGTAACTGACTATTAATAGTCAGTTACAAGCAGATCTTCAGACATTTCATGGT